GAAATTACAAAAGAACAGATAAAAATAAGGGCATTCCCCTTCTCTCTGAATGACTCCGCGAAAGACTGGCTGTACTACCTACCACCAGATAGTGTCACCACTTGGGACCAGCTGAAGAAAAAATTCCTAGATAAATATTTTCCTGCGTCTCGTGGTACACGTCTAAGGAAGGAGATATGCGATATCAAACAGCATCAAGGAGAGTCGCTTTATAATTACTGAGAGCGATTCAAGAAGTTATGCATCAAGTGCCCTCAACACCAAATAAATGAGCAATTGCTCATCCAATATTTTTACGAGGGGCTACTTTTCAGAGACAGGACTATAATTGATGCTGCAAGTGGAGGGGCGTTGGTGAACAAGACTCCTCGAGAAGTGTGGGAGTTAATTGAAGGAATGGCCGAGAATTCGCAGCAGTTTGGTACAAGGGAGGATGTTCGGACACACAAAGTGAATGAAGTAGAAACATCCTCTATCCAACAGCAATTGACCGAATTAACATATTTTGTTAGGCAACTGGCTGTAGGAAATGCACCGCAGGCCAAGGTGTGTGAAATTTGTGCTGTCACGGGTCATTCTAGAGAAATATGCCCGATGATTCAAGAAGAGAGTGTGGAGCAAGTCAACATGGCTGATCACGCGCCTGCGCCAAGAAAGTCACATGACCAATACTCGAACACGTACAATCTGGGTCGGAGAGATCACCCTAACTTCAGCTATGGAGGGAATAAACAATCAAATTTTGTACCGAACAGACAGTAAGGCTATCATCAGCAATACCAATCTCGGCCAGCACCCCCAGCACCTCCAAGCTCAAGCCCGTCTTTGGAAGAAATGATGAAGCAACTAATTGCTAGCCAACAAAAGATGGAATCTAACTTGCAAAGTCAAATCGGTCAGATACAAACAGTACAAAGTCAAATGGATCATATAAAGCAATGCAAAGTCAGATGAGCCAGATGGCAATAGCAATCAACCGTTTGGAATCTCAAGTTTACGAAAAATTGCCATCTCAACTTGAGCTAAACCTGAAGAATGTAAGTGTAATGACCTTAAGGCGCGAGAATGAAATTCAGGAACCCGAACTCGTGATTCCGAAGGATAAAAACGAAGATCGAATTGAAAAAGAGCTTGAGGAGGAAGGAATGAGAAATGCAAATCCAAAGGTAATTCTTGATTCTATAATTAAAGTTGGAACTAACTCACCACCTTTTCCAAGCAGGTTAGAGAAACCAAAGAAGGAAGATAAGGAAAAGGAGATTCTAGGTGTTTTGAAAGGTGGCGATCAATATCTCTTTGTTGGACGTGATCAAACAAGTGCCAAAACAAGAAGAAGTTGAGGGGGGATAAGCATATTATGGTAGGTGAGAACGTTTCAGCAAAATTTTACAAAGGAAACTACCACCTAAATGTGGAGATCCAAGTATGTTTACTATCCCCTGTAAGATTGGACATTTTAAGATTAAAAATGTGATGCTAGATTTAGGGGTTTCTATTATTGTGATGTCTAAATCAATCTATGATTCCCTAAATTTAGAACCTTTAAAAGAAATTGAGATAATAATTCAATTGGCTGATCGTACATTTGCTTATCCGGATGGAGTAGTTTAGGATGTTTTAGTACAAGTAGATGGATTAATTTTTTGAACCGAATTTTATGTGCTTTACATGGATGATAGAAGTGTTCCAAATCTATCACCCATTATATTAGGAAAGCCATTCTTGAGTACTGCCCAAACTAAGATTGATGTTAGTAAGGGTACTCTCACAATGAAATTTGATGGAGAAATAGTCCACTTTAATATTTTTGATATAATGAAAAATCCTGTTAATTCTCATTCTGTGTTTGCTATTCATGCTACTAATCTCTCTGTACAAGAATTTTCTGAGTTTGCTTGTAGGGGTAAATTCAAAATTGTTACGAACAAATATCATGGGATGAAAGCAATTTATGAGTAGAAAATTAAGGAAAAACATTGCACTCAATGACTATTTGGATCCCGGAGAAAGGCCACCGATTACAAGGAAAATTGAATTACATCCAGATTGAAAAGTGGTGTTTAACGTCTAGGCAAAGACGTTAATGAAATGCGCTTATTGGGAGGCAATCTAATTTCTTTTAGTTGTTTGTTCAGCTTTATTTGATAGTTTCAATATGTTTTCTTAGAGTTTTTTCAGATTTCTGGTTTAATTTTTCATTTTTGACGATTAGTAGGTGTCCCCCTGACATGACGCGCCCGTGTCAAGAGGGCGCGTGGTAAAGTGCAATTTTCAAGTGATTCATCAGAAGGGTTTCCACCCTCATGACGCGCTCGCATCAAGTCACCTGAAGAGCTCTTCTTCGATCCTGGAGCGGACTGACTGACAGGACGCGCCCGCTTCAACTGGGCACGTGATAACTTGAATTGAACGGACATTCATCAGAAGGGTTCTTGCCTTTATAATGTGCCCACGTCATGTTTGAGGGAAACTTATGTAAAAAAAAAAAACCCCGAAACCTATTTTCTTTTTCTCCTTCTTTCTTTCTTTCTTCCTTTCTTTTTCTTTCTTTCTCTTTTCTTTCTTTCTTCTTCCCTTATTTCCCTTTCCTTTCCTTCGTCGGTCGAAACCCTACATCCGCCGTCGCTATAGGAAGTCGCACTCAACTCCCGGTCACCAGCCACTACAGTCGAGCGCCGCTGTTGTCCTCCATGCTTCCTCGTCGCCATGACACTGTACGTCGGAGCTCTCCTTCCCTCTGTGATCCATCACTGTCGCGCACTGCCATAGCAACATTTTCGCTCCACCGTTCCCACCTATTCCATAGCCGTCCGAAACCCTCCACCACGTATTCGGGGATGTTTCGTTGTCCGGTTTGCTTTCTTTGCTTTATGATCTCTATTGAGGACAACGTCGGATTTAGGTGTGGGGGTGAGCTGTGGTACAGCTAATATTTTTAATTTTAGATATTTTTCTTTATTTCTTGTTATTTGTTCTGTTTTTCTTTTATTTTCTTTTTACTTTTTACTTCTGTGAATATCAAGGATTAATGATGGTTGTTTGGCTCCAATTCTACTATTGTCACGTTTTAATAATAAAAGTGTATCAAGTTAATTTGGTTGAATCCAAAAATATCTCTTTGGTGAATATCGACGATTGCGTGACTCCTATAATTTTTGATTAATTTTTTTAGGCATAGGGAATAACTGTTGGCATTTTCATGTGAATTGGTCCGATTATTAACTTGAATTCTCCATGTTTGAAGAAATGAGGCTAGCTGCTGCTATTATTTTTTGTATTATTTCGAGTTATTTTGTTGCCTGGTTGAGAATTAAAGTTGGATGTACCCTGCTAGCCGTTACTGTTGAGTAATCGGGGATCTTCACCGAAAGTGTCGATACTCGCGTCAAAAAGTGATAATTTCTATGAGCACGTGGTCTCATAGCGATAGGAGTTGAGTAATCGGGTTCCTTCATCTAACAAATATTGGAGTTCGCGTAAAAAAACTCTAATGGCTAGAGACTAAGTCTATTATTACTATTAAAAAAAGAGAAAAATAGAAAAGCGTGATAAAAAGGTAAAAGTTGTGTCAAGATGTGATTAAAGTTAGCTTGCCTATTTGTGGATTTAATGTTGAAATTTTGGTTAATAGTTGAATTATTTGCTGATAAATGTTGAGCGGCCATTCTTTTTTCTTAGATTAGTTTGCCTTAAATTGAAGTTGTCCACGGTTTAAAAGCTACCCGGGGTGATGTTTCTTGGATCTTGACCATTGATGCTTGATAGGTGTTTTTTTTTTGTATCTTGGCAATAAGGTAGATGGAGCAATCGCCATAATCAGAAATTAGTGTCTGTTTCCTATTCTCATGCTTAAGGATAAGCATGGTTTAGGTGTGGGGGAAATTGATAGGTTGTAATTTTGTTAGTTATTTTATAATTAATTTCTCTTATTACCTTACCACATGTATATTAATTATCAGATTCTACTCGTTATTTTTCTAGTACTTTTCTAGTGTATGCCTCATTCTTCTCATACAGGTGAATTAATTTTTGACCCTGAGGTAGAGAAGACCGCGCGGAGAACACGAAAAGAGATCCGACAGCTCAGAGAGGAGCAATCTAGTGCTGCATCTCAGAGACTTGATCCGAAAGTTGAAGCAACAAATTCTCTTGGCGATACTTCGAGTGATCCAGATCGAGAAAAAGTTACTATGGCTAATGCACGAACACTAAGGGGGTTGGCTAATAGTATGAAGCCCCTGAAAATTACAGAAGAACAGATAAAAATAAGGACATTTCCCTTCTCTCTGAAGGACTCCGCGAAAGACTGGCTGTACTACCTACCACCGGTAGTATCACCACTTGGGACTACCTGATGAAGAAATTCTTAGACGACTATTTTCCTACGTCTCGAGCTCCAAGTCTAAGGAAGGAGATATGCGGTATGAAACAGCATCTAGGTGAGTCGCTTCATGATTACTGGGAGTGATTCAAGAAGTTATGCATCAAGTGCCCTCAACACCAAATAAGTGAGCAATTGCTCATCCAATATTTTTACGAGGGGCTACTTTTCAGAGACAAGAGTATAATTGATGCTGCAAGTGGAGGGGCGTTGGTGAACAAAACTTCTCGAGAAGCGTGAGAGTTAATTGAAGGAATGACTGAGAATTCGCAGCAGTTTGGTACAAGGGAGGATATCCCGATACGCAGAGTGAATGAAATAGAAACATCCTCTGTCCAACAGGAATTGACAGAATTAACATCTTTTGTTAGGCAATTGGCTGTAAGAAATGCACAGTAGGCCAAGGTGTGTGAAATTTGCACTGTCACAGGTCATTCTACAAAAATGTGCCCGATGATTCAAAAAGAGAGTGTGGAGCAAGTCAATATAGCTGATCACGCGCTCGCGCCAAGAAAGCCATATGACCCATACTCAAACACATACAATCCGGGTTGGAGAGATTACTCGTACTCGACAATTGTCATCTCAACCTGAACTGAACCTGAAGAATGTAAGTGTAATGACCTTAAGGAGCGGGAAGGAAATTCAGGGACCCGAACTCGTGATTCCGAAGGATAAAAATGAAGATCGAATTGAAAAAGAGCTTGGGGAGGAAGGAATGAGAAATGCAAATCCAAAGGTAGTTCCTGATTCTATAATTAAAGTTAGAACTAACTCACCACCTTTTCCAAGCAGGTTAGAGAAACCAAAGAAACAAGATAAGGAAAAGGAGATTCTAGAGGTGTTTCGAAAGATGGCAATCAATATCCCTTTGTTGGACGCAATCAAACAAGTGTCAAAATGCGCTAAATTCTTGAAAAATTTTTGCGTCAACAAGAAGAAGTTGAGGGGGAATAAGCATATTGTAGTAGGTGAGAACGTTTTAGCGATTTTACAAAAAAAACTACCACCTAAATGCGGAGATCCAGGTATGTTTACTATCCCCTGTAAGATTGGACATTTTAAGATTAAAAATGTCATGCTAGATTTAGAGATTTCTATTAATGTGATGTCTAAATCAATCTATGATTCCCTAAATTTAGAACCTTTAAAAGTAACAGGGATAATAATTCAATTGGCTGATCGTACATTTGCTTATCCGGATGGAGTAGTTGAGGTTGTTTTAGTGCAAGTAAATGGATTAAATTTTCCTGCTGATTTTTATGTTCTATACATGGATGATAGAAGTGCCCCAAATCCATCACCCATTATATTAGGAAGGTTATTCTTGAGTGCTGCCCAAACTAAGATTGATGTTAGTAAGGGTACTCTCACAATAGAATTTGATGGAGAAATAGTCCACTTTAATATTTTTGATACAATGAAATATCATGTTAACTCTCATTCTGTGTTTGCTATTCATGCCACTAATCTCTCTGTGTAAAAATTTTTTGAGTTTGCTTGTAAGGGTAAATTCAAAATTGCTACGAACAAATATCATGTGATGAAAGCAATTTATGAGGTGAAAATAAGTAGAAAATTAAGAAAAAATGTTGCACTAAATGGCCATTTGGATCTCGGAGAAAGGCCTCCGATTACAAGAAAAATTGAATTACATCTAGATTAAAGGGTGGTGTTTAGCATCTAACCAAAGACGTTAAAAAAAGACGCTTATTGGGAGGCAATCTAATTTTTTTTAATTGTTTTTCAGCTTTATTTGATAGTTTCAATATGTTTTCTTAGAGTTTTTTCAGATTTCTGGTTTAATTTTTCATTTTTGATGATTAGTAGGTATCCCCCAGACATGACGTGCCCGTGTCAAGAGGGTGCGTGGTAAAGTGCAATTTTCAGGTGATTCATCAGAAGGATTTCCACTCTCATTACGCGTCCGCGTCAAGTTATCTGGAGAGTTCTTCTTCCATCCTGGAGCGGACTGACAGACATGACGCGCCCACATCAACCGGGCACGTGATAACTTGAATTCAACGGATATTCATCAGAAGGGTTCTTGCCTTCATGACGTGCCCACGTCATGTTTGAGGGAAAAGAATGTAAAAAAAATCCCCGAAACCTATTTTCTTTTACTCCTTCTTTCTTTCTTTCTTTTTCTTCTTTCTCTTTTCTTCCTTTCTTCTTCCCTTATTTCCCATTCCTTTCCTTCGTCGGCCGAAACCCCATCTCCGCCGCTGCTCCCCCAAGTCGCGCTCAACTCCCAGTCGCCAGCCACTACAGCCGAGCGCCGCTGCTGTCCTCCATGCTCGCTTGTCGCCATGACGCTGTATGCCGGAGCTCTCCTTCCCTCTGGGATCCATCACTGCCGCGCACTGCAGTAGCACCATTTTCACTACACCCTTCCCACCTATTCCATAGCCGCCCAAAACCCTCCATCACGTATTCAGGAAAGTTTCGTTGTCCTGTTTGCTTTCTTTGCTTTATAATCTCCATTGAAAACAATGTCGGATTTAGGTTTGGGGAGAGCTGTGGTACAGCTAGTATTTTTAATTTTTAGATATTTTTCCTTTATTTCTTGTTATTTGTTCTGTTTTTCTTTTATTTTCTTTTTACTTTTTACTTCTGTGGATAACAAGGATTGATGATGGTTGTTTGGCTCCAATTCTACTGTTGTCACGTTTTAATAATAAAAATATATCAAATTAATTTGGTTGAGTCTAAAAATATCTCTTTGGTGAATATCGATGATTGCGCGACTCCTATAATTTTTGGATAACTTTTCTAGACATAGAGAATAACTGTTGAAATTTTCGTATGAATTGGTTCAATTATTAAATTTAGTTCTCCATGTTTGAAGAAATGAGGCTAGCTGCTGCTATTATTTTTCATATTATTTCGAGTTATTTTGTTGCTTGGTTGAGAATTAAAGTTGGCTGTACTCCGTTAGCAGTTACTGCTGAGTAACCGGGGATCTTCACCGAAAATGTCGATCATCGCGTCAAAAAGTGATAATTTCTATAAGTACGTAGTCTCATAGCGATAGGAATTGAGTAACTGAACTCTTTCATCTGGCAAATGTTGGAGTTTGCGTAAAAATGCTCTAATGGCTAGAGACTAAATCTATTATTACTATTAAAAAAAGAGAAAAATAGAAAAGCGTGATAAAAAGGTGAAGATTGTGTCAATATGTGATTAACTCAGCTTGCCTATTTTTGGATTTAATGTTGAGATTTTGGTTAATAGTTGGACCATTTGCTGCTAAATGTTGAGCGACCATTCCTTTTTCTTAGATTAATTTCCCTTAAATTGAAGGAGTCCGCGGTTTAGAAACTAACCGGGGTGATGTTTCTTGGATCTTGACCATTGATGTTTGATAGGTATTTTTTTGGTAACTTGGCAATAAGGTAGATGGAGCAATCGCCATAGTCAGAAATTGGTGTCTGTTTGCTATTCTCATTCTTAAGGACAAGCATGGTTTAGATGTGGGAGTAATTGATAGGTCGCAATTTTGTTAGTTATTTTATAATTAATTTCCCTTATTACCTTACCACATGTGGATTAATTATCAGATTCTACTCATTTTTGGCATTTGTGCTTATTGCAAGGAGTTGGAAAAAAATGTGGTAAGTAGGTGAAAATTTCGCACTACAAATGCTATTTGGCATGATCACGTCAACTTAGATCTTAACATGTTCGGAAGGTGTGGAAAAGATATGTGACACCAACTACCAATGGAAAGTGCAACATGGGAGCCATGATTATTCCCTTCGTTGGTTATTTGATTTGAATTAACATGAGTAGTTTTAGCATAGAAAGGAAACTTACTAACTTATCTTTGTATGTCAGCTCAATAGGAAAGAAAAGTCAGAGTTTGACTAGGACTTCAATTCTAGTGCTTTTGGAGTAGGGCCGGCCGCAAGGTAGAAAAAAGAGGAACAGACTTAGCTTATGGGAGCTGTTCATTGTTTTTAGATTTTTCCCGTGAGACTCTGGTCAGAGGCTACAGAGAAGACATTAGCCATTCCTTTTGACTTAGTACTTTTCCTCTCATTCTCAGTTATTCGGATTTCTTCATTATATAGAGAAGAATGTCTTCGACAATTACTTCTGAATTTTCGCGTGGATTTTTCTCATCAAAGATGAACTAAATCCGTTTTTCTAGTCAAGAAACAACGGAGGTTTTGGTTCGTCTAAAAATTATGAGATCAAATTAATTTTATTTATTTCTCTTATTTACTAGTATTTGCATATTCTCTACTTGCAGTGCTTATGGTTGTTTAATTAATTGATTATTTGGATCCGGACAATGAATAGATTCAATAACTTACTGTCGGTTGGAGCATTAAATTCGTAATTATTTAATTGCTCTGAAATAGTGGCAACTGGTATAATTGGATTTGTGTCAGAGAAATACGCGGGCTAATCTAAAATAACCCTGGTAGTGCGTTGTTTGGTTAGAATAGAACTTCTCTAATACGTAAGGCAATTGGAAAATTAAATCTTACGGGTGTACCTAAAATTATTTTCTCAATTAGAGTAGTGACTAACAGGCGTACCTTAATCACCGACACAGTAAGGAGGTTGACTTTCATCGCTTGTTTGGCAGTTATAACCTATTTATTAGTAAATAATTAAAATTATCTTTGCATCAATGATCAATTAGGTGAACCATTGCTGAACTTATTTCTTGGCTAGATCTTTGGTTATTATTAATCTGATTTTAGAAAATTATTATTTAATTTTTAGTTAGCTATTTATTTTTATTTGGACTGTTTTAATTGTCATTTTTTATACGAAATCACCCCCTGTTACTTTGAATTTCAAAAGAGACAAATATTCTCAATCGCTGTTGATTCGACCCTACTTATTACTATATACATAAATTATATTTTGTTTGAGCAGACATTTATTATTGCACAGGCTCGACAACCTGTTAATTTTTGGCGCCGTTGCCAGGGACTGGCGTTAGTTAATTTGTTTTTTTTAAGTTCATTCTTGTTTTAATTTTTTGATACTTTTCTAGTGTATGCCTCATTCTTCTCATACAGGTGAATTAATTTTTGACCCTGAGGTAGAGAAGACCGCGCGCAGAACACGGAAAGAGATCAGACAGCTCAGAGAGGAGCAATCTAGTACTGCATCTCAGAGACTTGATTCGAAAGTTGAAGCAACAAATTCGTTTGGCGATACTTCGAGTGATCCGAATCGAGAAGAAGTTACTATGGCTAATACACGAACACCAAGGGAGTTGACTGCTCCTGATCTAAATCAGCAACGCTTATGCATTACTTTTTCAAGTTTGAATAATAACACTCCATTTGAATTAAAATCTGGTCTAATCATCTTTTACCATCTAAATCTGGTCATTTGCAACAGTATGAAACCCCCAGAAATTACGGAAGAATAGATAAAAGTGAGGGTATTCTCTTTCTCTCTGTAGGACTCCGCGAAAGACTGGTTGTACTACCTACCACCAGGTAGTATCACCACTTGGGACTAGCTGAAGAAAAAATTTTTAGACAAATATTTTCCTGCATTTCGAGCTATAAATCTATGAAAGGAGATATGCGGTATCAAATAGCATCCAAGAGAGTCGCTTTATGATTATTGGAAGCGATTCAAAAAGTTATGCATCAAGTGCTCTCAACACCAAATAAGTGAGCAATTGCTTATCTAATATTTTTATGAGAGGCTACTTTTCAGAGACAGGAGTATAATTGATGCTGCAAATGGAGAGGTGTTGGTGAACAAGGCTCCTCGAGAAGCGTGGGAGTTAATTGAAGGAATGGCCGAGAATTCGCAGCTGTTTGGTACAAGGAAGGATGTCCTGGCACGCAGAGTGAATGAAGTAGAAACATCCTCTATCCAACAGCAATTGAAGGAGTTAACATCTTTTGTTAGGCAATTGGCTATAGGAAATGAACCTTAGCCAAGGTGTGAAATTTACACTGTCACAGGTCATTCTACAGAAATGTGCCCGATGATTCAAGAAGAGAATGCGGAGCAAGTCAACATGGCTGATCACGCGCCCGAGCCAAGAAAGCCATATGACCAGTACTCGAACATGTACAATCCGGGTTGGAGAGATCACCTTAACCACAGGTACGGAGGGAATAGACAATCCAATTTTGTACTGAACAGACAGCAAGGGTATCATTAGCAATACCAACCGCGGCCAGCACCACCACAACCTCCAAGTTCAGGCCCGTCTTTGGAAGAAATGATGAAGCAACTAATTGCTAGCCAACAAAAGATGGAATCTAACTTGCAAAGTCAAATGGGTCAGATACAAGCAATGCAAAGTCAAATGGATCAGATACAAGCAATGCAAGGTCAGATGAGTCAGATGGCAATATTAATCAATCGTTTGGAATCTCAAGTTCACAAAATATTGCCATCTCAACCTGAACTGAACCTGGAGAATGTAAGTGTAATGACCTTAAGGAGTGGGAAGAAAATTCAGGGACCCGAACTCGTGATTCTGAAGGATAA